CAATTTCCCACCAAAGCTAGAGTGCGATGTTGCGCACAGTCATGACATAGAACTCTACTACGATCATGTCTCTTCAACTTTGACGGCTGTTTGTCCAAATTTAAAGTTAGTATGCGAAAAGTTGCGCCTCACGCTTGCGCTCACCAAGATTTTTTAAAGTCAGTGGGACGGATAATATAGGTAAGCAAAAAAATCCCGATTGGTGTGCGTGGGCGCTGAATTCTAAAGTACAGTACCGGCCCAGGGCCCTCCACGAAGTGGGCAAATGGGGTTTTTCAAAACAAATTCCCCTTTAATCCCCAAATTGTTCACGAATATTCTTTTGAGCCCAGAAACGATGCTTTGTGCTTGTGCAACTCGGCCAGACTTCGCCTAAAAGCGCTTGAAAGCGCCCAAAACGCTTAAATTCTTCTAATTATTCCTCACCTTTACCAGGATAGAAAACAGGAGGGAGAATAAGCAAGAAAAATGATGAGGGAATCAAGAAATATCAAAATAACGCAGTTATACTAGTGAAAGATGCCGTTTCCGCGTATCGATTGACCGGATAGCGCTTTCCTCCTTAGAAGCTGGGCTGCAGATGCGATTGTGGGCTTTAACAAAGACAAGAGGAGGAGTTTCGGAACCGAAATCCTACCATACAGTAAACTTTGGGTGTACAACATATTTACGTGAAAATCTTGAAAAACTTACGTGATTTGAAAGTTTTGTCTACCTCAAATAGGCCTTAGGTGGGCAATTGCCCACCTAATTTGAAAATAGTTGGACACGCTCCTCATCCACATAAGTTTTTCACAATTTTTCATACATTGTTCCTTAGTTCTACCGCGTATACACCAAGTCTCTCGCGAATTCGTTTTCTCTGACTGCAAACGAGCCTTTTTCCATTTTCTTGGTAGTGGGAAATTTTCAGAAAAAAGCTTGCCATAACCTTCAGTCACATAATTTTTCAATGAAACCCTTCTAAGTTAAGCCCTGCAGGTCCGTGTTCATGTACCTAGCAAATTTCATACCGTAACGTCACCTGTGCGCTGCAAACGAGCATTTGAATCATAGGTGCGATAGTGTGAGAATTTGCTCACCCCCCCCCCTTCACCCCTGAGCCGGAAACCAAGGTGACCCCCTTCACCAAAACCGACAAAAAAATCAACAGTGAGGTAAGGTTATGCCTGATAAAATGACCACGCTATCAACCTATTTGTAGGCTCTACAGTCAAGAAGCAAGTGAAGGGCAATCGTGGCATTCTTCCAGCTATGTCCTTAGACCGATTTTATGAAAACCGATTTTATAAATGGTCTGAAAAAGTGAGTGTGGTCAAAATTATTGGATGGTACACAAGTGCAAAACTGAGGTTTTTGCAGGCGTAATGTTCGAGAAGGAAAGGTTATACAACGCTTGTCACTTGCTTCATACGAATATGGGATGAAGGTCCGGACCGACCGATGACTATATTCTTGTCTTAATGTTGCCGTTTCATGCTTTGTAATTTAATGAAAATATTGAAAGATGACGACTATCAACTATTGTGAGGCCATCAGAAGTTGTAATAGAAAGTGGTTCTGAGAAGTGTGATGATAGGAAGTATCAAAAATTATGAATGATGAAGCACGTAGAAAGAAGTAAAATATTGTCTGCCCAGGAAACTCTGAAAGATACAGTAAAATTATTGCATGTATAAATGGCCATTCCTGGTAAATGTGCACGTAAATGGTAAGAAGGAAACACACGGGAGCAGGATTGGAACCTTCTCGTTATCTTCTAAAGAAGGCATTGGATGACAATGGAAGAAACAAGGACAGGAAAATCGGAACGCCTGACTGCCACGAAAAATCTATTCCGCTGAAGACTACTGGACACTGCGTAGTACTGAACTTGTTAAATTCGGCAATTGGAAAAATTAGGGTTGTTGAAACAAAGTGAGGTTGTAACTACTTCTTGTTTAAATTTAGATTTAGCATAGGAGATATTTGTACGAAAATTGTTTGTGTATCGGAAAGGAGGGAGAAGATTTATAGGCAAAATTTGAAAAAATTCAATTAAAAATTCATAACGTTTGTAGATGAACAGCTAGTACAAGGAAATGCTCACCATTGAAACCGTTTCTTCCTCTGCTTTCAGAAAATATATAGTTTGTCTGGGATCCGTTGAAAAAAGTGCGTGGTGAAGGGGGTGTTTAGTGATTTTTGGAGATTTTCGAGTTTTCAACATAGAAAAATTCATAACTTCTGTAGATGAACAGCTAGTACAAGGAGATGCTCACCATTAGAACCGTCTCATTCTCCGCTTTCAGAAAATATATAGTTTGAAGGGATCCCTTGCAAAAAGTGCTTGGTGAAGGGGGGGGGTGAGAATTTTATAACGGGAGTTCTCAGGTAGACGTCTTTTTACAATGGTGAAAAGGCCTCTGCCTGAGAACTCCCGTTATAAAATTCTCACCCCCCCCCCCCTTCACCAAGCACTTTTTGCAAGGGATCCCTTACAAACTATATATTTTCTGAAAGCAGAGGAAGAAACGGTTTCAATGGTGAGCATTTCCTTGTACTAGCTGTTCATCTACAGAAGTTATGAATTTTTCTATGTTGAAAACTCGAAAATCTCCAGAAATCACTAAGCACCCCCTTCACCACGCACTTTTTTCAACGGATCCCAGACAAACTATATATTTTCTGAAAGCAGAGGAAGAAACGGTTTCAATGGTGAGCATTTCCTTGTACTAGCTGTTCATCTACAAACGTTATGAATTTTTAATTAAATTTTTTCAAATTTTGCCTATAAATCTTCTCCCTCCTTTCCGATACACAAAACAATTTTCGTACAAATATCTCCTATGCTAAATCTAAATTTAAACAAGAAGTAGTTACAACCTCACTTTGTTTCAACAACCCCAATTTTTCCAATTGGCGAATTTAACAAGTTCAGTATTACGCAGTGTCCAGTAGTCTTCAGCGGAATAAATTTTTCGTGGCAGTCAGGCGTTCCGATTTTCCTGTCCTTGTTTCTTCCATTGTCATCCGATGCCTTCTTTAGAAGATAACGAGAAGGTTCCAACCCTGCTCCCGTGTGTTTCCTTCTTACCATTTAGTGCACATTTACCAAGAATGGCCATTTATACATGCAATAATTTTACTGTATCTTTCAGAGTTTCCTGGGCAGACAATATTTTACTTCTTTCTACGTGCTTCATCATTCATAATTTTTGATACTTCCTATCATCACACTTCTCAGAACCACTTTCTATTACAACTTCTGATGGCCTCACAATAGTTGATAGTCGTCATCTTTCAATACTTTCATTAAATTACAAAGCATGAAACGGCAACATTAAGACAAGAATATAGTCATCGGTCGGTCCGGTCCTTCATCCCATATTCGTATGAAGCAAGTGACAAGCGTTGTATAACCTTTCCTTCTCGAACATTACGCCTGCAAAAACCTCAGTTTTGCACTTGTGTACCATCCAATAATTTTGACCGCACTCACTTTCTCAGACCGTTTATAAAATCGGTCCTCATAAAATGAGGTTGTGAAAGGAACGATGCCGTTCCTGGCGGCGCGTTGTGTGTAATTGCACACCCACATTCACATACGCGCTCACCCCCCCCCCCCCAACCCCCCCTCCCCCACCCCCTCTGACCCCCTTCACCCTGGAGGGGCTGCGACCACCGTGACCCCCTTCACCCTGGAGAGGTCATTCTCACCTTATCGCACCTATGATTTGAATTAACAACTACATTCACCCGTTATGGGAAATTTTTAAAAAAATGCTTAGTACACCTTCCGTTCACATAAGTTTTTCATATTTTTTCATACTTCTTTTCACCAGCCTCCGTTCGTTCGCTTACCAGATTTGGTACCATATAAATACGCATGCACTGAGTACTAGTTATGTATGTTTTTCCAAAAGGCATCGGTCAAGCGATGTTGCGCGTGCGGCAGTCAGCGGCAGCGCTGTTTGACGAACTCCACTGCGCGCCTGTTGAGGCACTTTTAACATGTTAAGATAAGCAGGGAGCACAAATAACCATTTTTACCAACTACAGACTGCCATAAACGGTAGTGTATGGACCCCGCAAAAACGATAACCCCTTTCCTTCCTTCATTCAAAACGATTCCCAGCCTGTCATTTGCCCACCTCGTGCCGGGCCCTGTGCCGGCCACAGCACAAATTACATACGCTGTGTTTCTTTTTCGACGCGATTTGAATTTTTGCATGGGCCGATGGTGTTAACACATTCACCAAATACGACCCAACGGCAAATCAGGTTTCTGAATTTTTTCATTTTGCTAGTTTACATTGAAACTTTTTGAGCAAACTGAATTTACTTCTGCATACATCCCTTGGAGTATCCAAGAAATTATCATTTCAGACCACAAGACCCATTAGTGGTCAGAACATTACGCAAACTCGATATTGCGAAATATGCTCTGGTCCGAACTGGCAATCATCGAAAAATCAGCCTTGTCGTGAATGTGTGGTGAAGTAAAATCACGCTCCACTTTTCACACCTTGTGCATCTTTAACGTCTGCTCATTCGTAAGCTTTGTGGCTTGCACTCTCAAAGGTTCCAGTGTTTTGACAGAACTGATAATCTCAAGAGAGTCTCCAGGAAAGTTTCTTTGAATTTTCAGTCCCTCAAAACATATTTATTCGAAATCGGGACATCGAAGAGGGGGAAAGAACTAAAGCCCGAAAATCTGAGTGGAGGTCACTCGAAGAGCATTTACTGTAATCTTTAAGCCTATGTGGACTTCTGCTAAAATGGTCAGCATGTTTTTACCACGAAGAAGTCTATCCTGCATATCTTACTCTCAGAATTTTAAGTCTCATTATGCATGAAAAACGAACATGTGGATAACGAGATTTCGCTGTGATTTATACCTACAACTGTAATTGACTGTGATTAGAGTATAAGTGTGGAAGCAATAGGCCCCATTTTCTTGGACTACTCTCGTCGCTTCGCACATGCTTACAGGGGCTTCCAATCTCAAATTCGCGCGGCTAAGGTCCTCGCGAGCCGCTTCGCTTGGAGCACTTCGACGCGTTCTGCTTCACTGTATGATATCCATCTTGAGAAAGCTGCTCGAAACTCACATTGGCTAGTAGTTCCCCATTGCTAAGTGTAGCGCCCTTAGGTTCGATCACGGCTATGTTCTCCCCATACAGTGGACGTTTATCTTCAGGTGTTTGGGTAAGTGTACACGACTCAGCCACCTTCTGAGCATCTTCCTCCAAAGCACAATCATAATTCTGCAAAGTGCGAAATATGACCAGCAGCAGCCTCAAATGCGAAAGAGATACCATTTTTTTTATATTTTTCGCCTGCAGTAGCTTTTTGCCGCTTATTCCATTATTGACAATTCCGCTGGCAACTTCTCTTCTGGAAAACATCGTCAGTCTGAATACGAGTCACATGATGGAAGGTTCAATTGGAAAAAAAGTAGTCTTGTGGTGCAGTCTCCAGCACCAACCTGATGTGTTGTCCCGACACTTGATGCGGCGGCAAATCTTTGCTTCTTCCGTGATTTGTTTAGACAAAAGCCGCCGTAGGCTTTTCACGCGCGATGGTGGTTTTGTGTGGAAAGCATCACGGTCGTGCGAATCGCACTACACTCCATATGCAATATGGTGTAGGTGCAATTGAAAAGAAGAGTGGAAACTAATTATAATTTAATCGCCATTTTGCAAAAAATGAATATCTTCCTTCATGCTTTGGGAGAAATTCCTGTCACAAGTCGGACTAGTCTATAAACCATTTTCGCAGTACAAGCCGAAGGACAGTTTTATAGCTTATCGTTAGAGCGCAGCGGACCCAGAATCTCACTAAGCCAACTTTTTCAAGCTCGCACGCAATCCCTACCCTTTTAAAGGCAGCGTCCAGGCAGATCTGGACCTATGGGGTTTTTACATGGAAAGTACTTTTGGAGCCCTAACTAGGGCACTGCCCAAGCAGCAGCGCTTGTACTGCTCTAACGGCTGAGATATTCCCCTCGAAACTGGACCCCGCGATCGTATACGCATGGATTCATGGCAGTTTCGCGCTAGGATCCACGCTTTGCGCCATAAATCCATGCGGAATACGATCGCGGGGTCCACTTTCGAGGGGAATATATTAGCCGTTAGAGCACTACCTGAGCTGCCGATTGGGCAGTGGCTTAGTTAGGGCCCCAAAATTACTATCCACGTGAAATCCCCATGTGTCCAGACTTGCCTGGACGCTGCCTTTAATATTCTTCGCTGTGTCCATGAAATTGAGCTCGATTTATTAGTACTAACCTTCTCATATCATGAAGTGCTTCCATCAAAATCCTTTCGCCCGCTGCAAGTGTGGTTCCAGAACAGCTATATTCTGCAAAACAAAACTTTGTCTAAGTTGATGTTGTGTATTTTTGAACAATCAGCATCGCGGGATAAAACATACCTGCGGTCGCAGCTTGATACAGACCCATATACAGGCCCACCTGGAAAATTCTTTTCAAAAAATGTCCTCAACAAGAAACTCATCTTTATTATCGATCGCGTATGATGTTACGTGCAAGGTTTTATGTTTTTTTGAGGAGTGGAGGCACTTTTGCAATCTCATCTATTTCATCTCTCATTGAAGGCACCGCCCACCCAAAATCTCAAATTCAATGTTTTTGTCGCCTTCAGGCCTTCTGAAAGCCCTGATTCCGAATTTCAGGAACAGTCTTCTGCGGCAAAGCTTGGGGGTTTGCCTAGTGTGGGGGCCCACTAGTATGCCATCATAATCTCGCCAACCTCCATTTTGGGTGGACGGTGCCTTCAAAGCTTCAGACAATCTTGTCAAGTTTGCTTAGTTTTGGGGCGTCCTAGATGTATGTAAATTTGGACAACACGAACCATCTTGTTGAGTTGGTCAGAATTTGTGTTCGGAATGAGTGGCCTATGCTGCAGAGGTATGGAATGCATTAGAATAAATTCAGATTTTGTGGTGATCAGTAAAAAAAACCCAGCGGGGCGCGGTAAAGTTTGCTTGCAGAGGCACAGAAAACACGAATATGAAATACATTATAGTATCCCGTGGTAGCTTTCGCGATATGTTAGCACGAAAAGTCAGTCTTTTTGAGACGCATGTATTATATAAATCCGTATGACAGTACTATTACACACAAAAATTGACCCACGCCCTCCTAAATTCATTTATTAGGTCGTTGCAAAAGTAATGCGCGTTTTCTTAGTTCTCACTTTGACGTGTTGTAATTTTCTAAAAAATCTATATTTTTCCATGCGGTAAAAAACATTGGAGGCACCAAACCTTTCGCAAGACAGCGCACATCTCCCTATACTCATATCACTAACGGGCAGAAAAATATGGATTGATAAGCATAAAAGTTTTTTTTCGAAATTTCGTCTTTTGCTGATCATAATTTCTTCAAAATTTGTTAATGTAGATAATAAGCAGACTATATTGTAGCCGGAAGCCAGCAGTACAAAAAATTTGAAAATGGCTCAAACGAGGATTTGCGAAAAGAAAACAATCAAAATCCAAAATTGTCCGCTATTGGACATTTTTTCGCAGGCCTAAAAATCCCAAAATATGGAGTTTTTCTGATTTTCTGCGTAATGAACAGCTACACAATTCTTTTAGAAACTGTCAGTAGGAGGCCAACCCTTACGCTTACAGAAATGAGTAAAGTTTTGGCGATTGCCTCCTTCAGAGGAAATTTATGGGGCACAGAATGATCAAAACGACTGCCCATGTTGAGGCGCCGAGATCTCAGACTAGGTAATTTCTGAGAAAAATGTGCGTAATGTAGACAATTCCCATTAAATACAGTAACTAGAGTTCCAAAAGTTTGCCTTTATTCGACCTTGATTTCTGGCCAGAAAAGTGAATGCAATGAAATTCTGGCTTCGAGTGCGGTTGTGTGAAGCTCTAATATTTAACTAATGAAGCTAGAATTCCGTTCTAACAATCATTGTATAGAGGATGAAAGAAGCTTCTGGATGAAAAGAAAGTTTGATGGAGAAAAGTTTCCTAAAACAAGGGCTAGAAAAATGCGCATTACTTTTGCACCAACTCAATAAAAATAATGCGACCAATAGTCATTGATCCGGATACACCAACACCAAACGCAAATTAGCACAATTACTAAACTTACCAGTAGAAGCGAAGCCAACATTCTAGAGTTGTTTGTTAGCATCACCTTCACGGATGCTTTTATAAGAGCTGAAAGGCATACTTGTTATTCACAGTGCACTTAAATACGAGAATTCTTTTCATCGAGAAATTTGCTGAATCTAATGCAATGTATTGGTAAATATGAATGTTTTCCGAGCCTTCCGCGAAAACAAGTGCTCACTGTATGCGAATTCACACGAAAATTTGTGCATATAGAGAAAAGTTAAATCATATCCTCAATGAAGTAAACCAGTTCAATTAGGCAAGTCAATGTCGATATTCGCTCTGAAAAAATGTGCTCAAAGGAAGAGACACAAGAACAGATAAGTAGGGACTTCGAAAGTGTTAAGATTATGAAGGAATCTCTTGCATTACCCAATAAGCTTGGGCAATTTATCACTAAAAAAAAACACAGAACCTGACTAATTATCTATCCTTTTTCAAACCTAGTCCATGCATCATCCACCAAGCACTAGTCCATGGTAATTAGCGAGATAATTCGCTTTGCTATATTTCAAAGTCAACAAGATCGCTGAAACGAGTTTTGTACCGCTGTCGTAAATTATCGGGATGCGATAAAGGTATGAAAGTGCAGATATACTCTTACAAGGGAAAGATACTTGGTCGGAGTGGTTTTCATGTGAAATGTATACCATCGTATATTCTAAGGCAAAAATTCATGATTTGGTTAAGATAAGTACAAGTGTAGAGCTTCTTTTCCGCGCTGGAAAGGAATAGTAACTAGCATGAGCTTATTATACTAAAGGTGTTGGTTGCATAATACCTTTTGGCTGTAAACATGGTCCCAATTAAGCTCATAGACTACAGTTCCTAATAATTTTTGTGTAACCGCGCCTACTCATTTTCGCTTCAAAAGATTCCCATAACTTCCTCCTCAAAAGCGCTTTGCAGATACCAAAAGCAGATTTGGAATCAGCGTTCCAAGCTCCATAAAGCAGTGTACAACTCATTTGCAAACGCCATTTCAACCAAGTACAGTACCCACACTAATTATTCGACAGAAAACGCAAAAACTGACGATCCGCGTTTTTTTTCGTTTTTTCTTCATAACTTCCTTCAGATTGCATAAAATACGAATCCGAAGAAAGCATGATGTTCAGCGCGTCAAGACGAATCTTCTGATGTACTGCACTCTCTTACTATTCCGTTTTCAGTCTTCTCGATTTTTGTATGAGGACGGGTTTTCGTAGTAGTGTAACTCAGCGAAGAACACACAAGAAAGACTCTAGTAAACACGATTCGGTAGAGCTGTTTCTGTAAATTACCATGCGCTAACGATTAGCGGAGGATCCCTTTTCCAAAGAGAAAGATAGGCCGGTGAATTTTGCAAAAATCGATGTCTCTCAAATTTCAGCTACCGTAAAAAAACAACAAGACGCTAATTTGCAAAGCGGGTGTGTTTTTCGTAATCAGCAGGCCAGATAACCTCTTTGCGCAAGTTTCCCAAGAAATTCGGGCCCTTCGATTTTTCCTCGTTCTAGGCTGTGAAGCTCGCCGACGGGTTTTGGCTAAAATATTGATGATCTTGGATTGGCCGGAAACTTCGCCCATAGAGGTTTTCGGACCCGCTGATTACGAAAATAGTGCTCTTTGGGCAGCGTAAGTTCTTTTAGCAGGGTTATGCTGAGAGAAATGCTGCGATACGACGCAAGTTCCTAAATTTGTCTGCCCTTTTCGCGCATCTGTTGGACAACTTACCTGATCCTTTTTGTAATTTGAAATCACTAGAAACAGTGCTCTCAGAGCATGCTTAAATTAGGCCCTTATCTGTATTGATCGCCGAACTGTGAGCATACGAATTCGCGTCCTCATGAAAATCTTTCGAAATTTCAAGGTCGCATAATTTGGGCAAATATCATTGCGACTGATTAAAATCACTCTGATTGCAGATATTATGTTTATGTACATATGTAAATTGATAATCTGAATATAGCATACTTGTTTACTCCCTATGTCATCTTACACCTGTAGCTCAAAGTTTGCAAAAAATCGATGGAGTCGGTAAATGTAATTTATTTTTGAAAACTAACATTATATCCGTAGTCAGCACCCTCACTCATCTGCTTATACCAATTCCCAGCCCGGTAGCTCAAAATTCGTTAAAAAATCGATAAATCTACCAATGACGAAATGTAGTCTACGAGACCAGCTCGGCTCCTAAGGCTAGGTTCTACTGATTCCCATTTTCCGAAACTGTTCCCGCACAGTCCCGCACTGTGCTGGGAGTGTGCGGGAACTGCAACTGTGCTGCATGGGCTGCAGCCGCCCCGCACGCGTTTTAAATGGCGGGCTTTGAAGAATTTTGACCGTTTTAAACGGTTTTTCTTCCAGTGTCCTCTCAATTTGGCCTTATTCCTCTAGCTCATTTTTTGATCACCAAAACTTCGAGCTCGAAGCTATGCTGAAGAATGAGTGCTTTACTGCTCTGCGTATGCGACAAAACGTGTGTTCTTGTGCTCGTCCGTTTTCTCTTCGCTTTACTTTTATCAGACCTATTCCATTTGTTCCAGAAAGCCCCTGCGCAGTTTCTATAGCCATTTCCATGAATTAGGGAGTGCTAGCAATTCTGAAGTTGCGTGAATTGAGACTTTTCTCTTGTTTTCTGATGAGTTTCGTTTTTGCGCATTCTCAGCCCCTTTCCTTTTTTCCATATCGTTGCTTCTCCGTTGTTTCTTCTACCGCGTTTCCTTGTGATGAGAAAAGTGTGAAATTGAAGCGGGACTGAAGAAATAAATCCAAGCAGAATGGTCTTCGCGCGCTTGTCCATTTTCTCTTCCATGTCCAGGCCTACTTCACTTCAATACAGAGTACTCTGCGTTGATACCACTGCTTT